TGGTCAGTGATTTGGCGCTGAACTGCATTTGAACTATTTGTTTGCACGAAGACAGCTCTTCCGTCACTATAACGATGTCTCCGCACTCTCTGTTCGGTATTCCCGACAACTTCTTCACGAACTGTCGTCCAGAATAGGCCACGATTTCGGCTAACGTTGTCTCGAAGTGTCCCAAAAACTCCTTCTGTTGGGGATCGATGTCCCACACCTCGAACCGCATCTTCTGAACGGTCTCGAAGTTGTAGCTAATGATCAACTTCTTGACCCAATCGGGGTTCAGGTTATCCTTAATTGTTTCGGTTCTTCCGATTTCGTGAAACCTCTCACTCCACGAGTCCTTCATCTGGACGATACACAACGGATCCGATTTGGATGTGATGTCTCTGTTGAGTAGATTACGACACGAGAGGGTCATCTCTATCTGAGTGGTGGGCATGACAGCCGTCCCGCCGCCGACACTACTGTCCCCTCCGGTTGACGTCTGAAAGGGTGCCATCATTTCGGTGGTCACCGCTTGTTGTGAGTAGTTTTGGGACCAATTCTGCGATGACATGACTTCTGGATCTTTGGCTTTATATGCCTTTCCGCTCGCATTCACGTCAATACAAATCAGGCTTTCATTTGTTTGTAGCAATAGTTACGCTATTTTTAAAACTTTTATTTCAATTTTTTATCATTTTATTTAAATATCATTTGTATTACACTTTCAATGTGTAAAACCACACGAATATTCTGTATGTATGTATTTATATAGCACTCATTGCACACCACATAACATGTATATATAAATTCTTATTAATGTCAAGAATATTCTGTGAACACAATGTTTATTGCAGTGAATATAATCTCATTAGTATAGCACTCTTAATGAGTTAACACCACTCTGTGCGCTAATACAGCAAACTATACGCTATTATCATGTGAGTTGTGAAACAAAAATAAATTTTTCATTCATTAATGAGTTTTCAAAAGCACTTTATCTAAAATAGAAATCAAAGAATTTGTATGTATTTTGTAATCAAACACTTGAATCAATGCATTTGCAAACAGACAATACAAATGTTGTCCTTATATTTAAACAGTAGTGCCATTAAAGCCATTGTGTTATGAATGAACGTAACAAACCGTAGGCAAACTCAAACACCCATTTAAAAACACATCCATTCATTTCCGTATACCTCTAGTGATTATAATTACGAAAAAGCAATTTCTTATCAAAAATTAATTCGTGAATACATTTCCTCAATAAATATTTAAAAAACTTTTATTTAATTGCTATTCAAATGCATTAAAACAATATTAATCCCCAAAACTTCCCCCTATTTGACGGTAACGTTGTATATGATTCACTGCAAATGTAACAGTTGTTGTGCGCATGCGTTCGCCTAACCTTCACATTCACTGATAGCGCCGGCATTGAGACGTCTGTCCATTAAATCCGAGATTATCTCATCGATTGTCTGCAAACATCCGTCTGAAGATCAGATCCACTTCAATACCATTCATCGCAATGTCTCTCAAGAAGTTAAGTATCGATAAACTGGACTTAAATGGCAAACGAGTACTCATTCGGTAAGTCTTGGGATCCGTTAGTTTTTGTCAATACTTTCCTCGTAATCCGATTATCATCTAATGGCCACTTCTCTGACTCATTGGGACTGCAGAGTGGACTTCAATGTGCCGATGAAGGACTCGAAGATCACGAATAACCAGCGAATTGTGGCCGCTTTGGATACAGTGAGGTATGCGTTGGACCAGAAGGCCAAGAGTGTGGTCCTGATG